AACATTAACTTCCTCTATTCCTCATTAATTCCCGTAGACGCTATTTTACTCCTCTAAATCCTACCACCTTCTTTTGGTAGAATATAGAACACACCACCGAGGGTGCACAAATGATGAAAACATTGCTGTACTTGGTAGATAACCACCCATCATATCCATTTTCATATGTGAATCTCATGCGAAATTCGTTTCTGAAATATTTAGGTCCCATAATCAAACAAAGGAATTGATTTCGTAAACTCTCATCGGTCGCGTACGTACAACAATAGCTAATAATAACAAATGAGGCGTATTAAGAAATCTAGTTCAGTGTGTGTTTGTGTACTGTGTGTGTGTGTGCGATGCACCTGATTGATTACAACCAGGGAAGGACAAGGGTAGAGGTCATGCGCTTTCGGACAAAGCGTGGAATGATTTGTGAGCGATCGTAATGCCACGAGTATTCTTAGCCGGTGTTTGTCACGTAACGTAAAAGAACGAAGAACGCGTTCGCAGTCTACCTTGTGACCACTTTCAACCAAGTGGTGTGCAATAACCGAAGTCGGTCTAAGTGATACAGTCAAAATCTGTGGTGTAGACTGAGTCATTGAATCCCGTACGTACGTCGGAATGTGTTCTTAACACGCCTCATTTGTGTATGTTGTTCAGTACTATATATACGTAAGCGACCGATGACAGTATATGGAAAGATTTCCTCTCACTGTGTTTCTCTTCTGATTTGCCTGTTGAAGTCCATTTTTGACAGGACGTGGTTTGGTCATTGTCTGGTTGCGTTATCCAGATCGCGGCTAAAAACGTGTGACATCTGTTGGAGGGTGAAGTCACTGTGTAGAATCGAAATGAATGAATTATTCCGGGTGTGTGCGTCAGTCAAATTTTGCTGGTAAATGCTGAGTAAATTTTAGTTGCATCTGAAAACTTCGGAATTCCACTCTAACTGTGTCTTGCTAGTAGCTTGATTTGACATCCAATTCCTCTCTGCTATATGTTGCTTGGTTTCTGAGCCACATAGCTCACATCTTGAATTGTGTTTTGCACAAATTACTGAACTCCTTTTCAATTTTTTTGGTGGTTAACATATTCTTCTGTGAGTTGGATGGGTGATTCGGATGTAAAAAGATCAGAGCTATCGGTATGACCTAATAGATCAGCTGATGGGAGCGTGCATTGTACAATATCGTAAGCGTCATTCGTGCATGGGTTCGAATCCAGCCGAGGTTACTCAATTTTTCACGATTTCTATTTACCTGGGCCACTGATTCGTAAGCTCCGCGTCACCCTATAATTAGGTGCCACTCCGGCAAATGTGTAATTATTCCATTTATCTTTGGCCTCAAATAGTCTCTGTTCTTTTCATTTCATTTTGCTTCCTTTTATTGAATATACAACAATACAATTATCAAGAAGGAGAAAGCTGTTAATCAAAAAGCTGTCACTCAACACACATTACGGGGAAGTGGTGTGATTCAAACAGCTCCTGAGTGATGATTGGTTGATCTTACCACTGGGCCACCACCGTCCCATATTTTCTATGGATTTTAATATCCCGTTCATTGTGAAACCGATACAATTTCCTTTCGCTGAGCTACTTAGTTTCATCTCGGCTTTCCTGAACCTGTAGAATTTGTAGGCGCAACACAGAGGCACTGAGTTGGCAACTGTTCGAAAACCGATATACTGTGCAAATGTCAGGGTTTTATCAGCTCCCAACAGGGGAGGCAACATTTCGTTCGCGGTCAGCACACTGTGTTTATTATAGATTGCCGTCCAAGAAAACGTAGCGACAGTGTGCCCAACCAGTTCCGTGTTTTTGATAACGTGCCCAAGTGCCCAAGTGAGGACTTCCTTCCCCATGTTATGCCATCCAT